TTTAGTTGTGGTAGTTCCAGTCTTCTAATTTAAAATAGACCTAATGTAAATTATTAATCCTCCATGATTAGCATCATATGGTCTAAGGTAATCAACATAACTGTACCCTGCAGGTTTAGCAGATAAAACAGATATTTCGTCGTGAGATCTATGCCAGGTTTCAGTTAAAATAAGAACATCAATTTTATCTCTAGTTATTTCATTCACATCATCAGATTTTTTTTATAATTGACCTTATATTCAACAAACCTAATATGAGTTTTTCGTCTTTTTGATCGAAGTCCTTGATTTTTCTGCCGCTCGTCTTTCTCTCTGAATCATTTATATTTTCATCACCATTTTTTTCTGAAATCAAATCTAAATTAATTTTTCCGCTGGTGGAAATTTGACAATTTTCCATCTTCCAACAGGCCCCCTCACTCTGTATAAAAAACCTTCTTTGTCCAAGTTTTCCTTCAACTTTGCCTCATCTGTCAGGGTTTTGATTTCTTTTCGCTGTTCAATCGTTAAATCATGATTCAACCCCACATGACGAAGAGTAGCATCTAACGATTTCATTTTGAATAAATTTTTCACAATGGTGTTTTTTATTTTAATATCTTCAAAACATATCAGTAGCGGTCGGGCCACACCGTCACTTTTTTTCCTAGTCTTGCCAACCTCGTTATGTTTGTATCAACAACCTCATCTAACAGATGTTTTAAGATTTTCATCACCGCTATTTTGTCATTACCTGTAGTCTCCTCAACTAGTCGATCCATTATTAAATTGCTTTCTCCCGTCTTCAAGTCGCTGACATCATTCAATGTTTTTTGAACAGTCTTAACCCCGCTTCCAATGACTTCGACATTCTTTTTAACTTCACGACTCACAATGCTCGCGAACGACATATTCATTTCAGTTTTTAGATTGTTTAATTCACCACGTAGAATGTCAGGTTGATTGAATTGGTTCAACTTCTCTTCACTGGCGCTAACCGATGAATTGATGTTTTCAATTGCAGATTTTATTTCCCGATTTAGTTCATTCAGTTCATTGAATTTTGTTGTCACCGCATTTTTATATGACTCGATAGAGTCAGTTAATTTCTTCAAACTCGGTCCCAAGCTCGAACACTTATCGCAAAACCAACGTAAATTGTTATCTGTTTCCAAAATATCACAAATTTCATCTGGTAAATTCGCGCAAACTGTGTGAATGGTAATAGCGCACTGGTAACATTTAATTCGTTTGTCTTTCTCTTTCGTATCCTTTCTCTTATTAGTTGAACATTTTAAACATTTCTCCTGGTTGGCTATGCTAAAATTTTAACAACAACAATAATAGGAGTGTATGCGTGCACGTTCAACAGAAAACTAATTATATATTAAACTCAAATATTAACTTAAAAGAAAAACTAAATTAATTAATTAACTCCAATTAGATTTACAAAATAAAATTATATTAATAATATATATATATATGTGTGTGTGCGCGTGTGTGTGTGTGTGCGCGCGCGCGTGTGTGTTAAGTGTGTGTATGTGTAAGATTGAAAAATATGGCTTCCAAAAAATTATTCGTCTCAGAGGTTTTGTGGTATTTTCTGAACAATATGGATAAATTAGACGAAAAAAAGTTTCAAAATAATGTTTCAAATTTTTATAGTCATGAAAAATTGCTTGTTGCTAAAAAAACATTGAATTCTGAATTGGATAATATAAAAAAAGAAAGAAAAGTAAAAGCTTCAACCAGACAGTTTGATATAATGCTTGATATTGTTGATTTGATAAAATATATGTCGACAAATGATCTTTGTCAACATTTGCCAACATTTGTGATTTTAAATATAAAAAACTACCTGATTTGATGTCGAATGATATGTTGGAGGCAATAAATGAAATGAAAAAGGTGACAAAATGGCTGCCCTGCTGAATGAAATACTGGATAGAAATAAAACTTGTACAAATCTTATTTCAAGTATCGCGCATGAAACAAACTCTCGCACAAATCTTGCTACGTGTAATGTCTACGATACAAATGTTAACCGCATTAAAAATGAAACAATCGATACTTCATGGTCAAATATTTTAGTGTCAAAAACAAATAAAACTGATTGTGAATTACAATCTGACGATAACGTTTCTGACGATCGTATGACACTCGTTCAGCGCAGTAAGAAAAATGTCAAATCAATATCTTTACCGCCAATTGCTAAAAAAGTTGAAGATGATATCAATAAAAATAAATTTCACAAACCCTCAAAGATTTTGGGATCACTCACAACTAGCCCCCTCTTCACGGCATCTATTTGATTTCGTGAACCTTCTCTGGACGTTTTCGATTTTTCTCACTTGGTACTTATAATGGGGGTTCCACACAGAGGAACAGTACTCCAATTGAGGACGTACATATGTGCAAAATGCTTTGATGAGTAGGTTTTGATCTTTAGAGGTAAAACATCTGATTATTAAACGTCCACGTGAGGAAGCTTTGAGAGTTATATTGTCGATATGTAAATTAAAATTAGTTTGTCAACTGTAACACCTAGATCCTTGAAGTAACATGCTGGTTTTAAAACGTGTTGACCAATAAAATACTGATGAGGAACATTAATAGATCTAGATGAATGGGAAAATGAACAATAATAACATTTATCCGGAGAAAGGGGTAACTGCCATTTGATACTCCAATCAACTACATCGTTGATTACTCGTTGAAGTTGAGTTGAATCGGATGAGCAGCAGTATAACTTGATGTCGTCAGCAAAGAGCAAAATGAAAC